GCTGCCGCCGGAACGAAGCCCCCGCCGGCCACGAACCACGTCCTTACCACGGTGTTTGTATTTGCCGAGTTCGCCATTTCCACACACAACACAAACAAGAGGGGGGCAACCCCGAGAAAACAGGATAAAAACCAAAAAAAGAAAAAGAAAAACCAAAACGGCCGGAGGGTGACCCAAGCCACCGCCAAGAGTGGGGAAAAATTTGGAAACAAAATCGGAGCGTGAAGGATTACAGGGGAGCGGTGAGAGGAAGACGAGGAGGAGGGGGCAGTCCTCCCGGAGCTGAAAACCTCGAGAATCGCCCTTAAAAAAAAAAAGCCACGACCCTTCAGGGGTCCGGGGGGCGTTGCCCACTCCCCACCCCGCGCCAAGGAGGGAAACCACCACCGGACGCCGCTCCCCGCGCCGCCGCTGCCGCCACCGGCTGCAGCTCCAGCCGTCCGGTCCGCCCGCTTCTCCCCTTTATATAGTGAGCCAACGAGCTGCGCGAGCCGCTGCCGCCGCCGCTGCCGCCGAGAGACAGGGCGGAGGGGGAGGGAGGGGCGGAAAGGGCGGGGGCAGCAGTGGGCGGGGCTGAGCGCGAGACACCGCGAGAGCCGCGTGCGGAGGCCACCGCTGGCCGCGTCGTCACGCGCCTTCGAAAGAGCCTGGTGGGCGGAGCCCTGGGATCCGAGTGAAGAAATAGGGCCGCCGCCTCCTCAAGTCTCGCGCGATCCCTAATTGGCAGCCAGGCGGAAGTCTCCGGTCGCTCCTCTAAACCGAGCGCTGGCAGAGTCAGGCTAGAAAAAGCGTGCGTTCTGGTGACCCTGGAGCCCAGAGTTCGCTGGGGTTGCATCCTGTCAGGGGTTGCTGCGGTTCCGCGCTTCAGGAGCTAGGCAAGGTAGAGGGATGGTGGCAGCTGCCTCGTTAGGAATGGCGGCTGAGGGATGGTCACGTGCCCCAACTTCCGGCCCCTAGTGCTCTGGGACTCTGATCGGAATTTTAAATGCGGAGTCATCTCGGGGCGTGAGCTGAGCACAGTTTGCGAACCTCCGGGCTTTCGCGCCACTCGCGGTGGGTGGGCCTTTGGCTCTGCGGAGTTGTGTAGGTGTTTTGGGGGGGAGGGTAAAATCTAACTTGGCCCATTATTAACATATTCGAGAATTCATAGCACCCTGAAAATCCGCTGAGAAGTTTTTTCTTTCAGTGTAGTTATAAAGTCTTTAAACTTACTTGACAGCCCAATTATTCGAAACACCGACCACTGCATTGGGACGGTATGACAGCATTTTCGATTTTTTGGTTTTAAAATAACATGGTAATGACATCTCAAACACCCACCAATTCGTTGATCGCTCACTGGGCGAGCGGGTTGAAGATGTCCAAGTTCCGAAATGCAATTCAGTCTTAATGCCTTTTGATCAGTCTTAATGCTGAGCATTTTCTTATCCCTAGGAATGTCCAGAGACCCGGAATGTAGTTTGCATGAGTGAGGGAGTTTGTTCCCAAAAAGCAAAGCAAAACGAAACGTCAAAGTTGTGTACTGCTGAAATCAGATTTTAACATCAGACTTGATATCAGACAGCAGAAAAGATGCAACCTGGCTGAACCGGGAGGAAGAGAGCCGAGGCTATTAACACACAAACTGGGAAGCTGTGGATAGTTTTGGACAGGGTATAGAGAATGCCTATTAACCTGGAGTTTTAACACGGTCTGGTCCTGTTTCCTCACAATACACGGTTGTTTTATCAGTTCTTTGCATAATGTGTGGGGACACGTTAGAAAAAACAACATTCACAGGAAATCATAGTGTTCTGATATATAAAATTATGATTCCTTCAACGTTTGTGCTTCCTTGATCATGAGCCAGAAAAGTTAAATTAAAAGGTACCATTCCTGTTAAGTTTCATTGTTATTACCTTAAGAGGATTTCTTGTAATCTGCTTACATACACACCCTACTATTTGTACATGCAACTCTTCACCTTCTACCCCATTTTCTTCCTTATTGTATTCTTAACTAACTGATAGAGTGTTTTGTCACCAACTAGGCTTGAGATCAGTGCAAACAGGACCTGGGAAAGAACCAGTGAAATTTATCCTCCACAGAATTATTCCTAAGGGGGTTAATAAAATGTTTGTTTTGATTGAGTCTTACCTGTGAAATACTGAAATAGTGTTGTTACTGGGTTAAAACGGCAGAAAATCCAGTCCTGGCCTCCTTAAAACTTGGAAACTCCCTGGAGATTCTGTCTGAATCCGTCTCTCTCTTTATAAACTCTAAATTGCAACATTGCTTGAGGGCTGAAATAATATTTACCAGTTGTCTGTAGTATTGGGTGCTTAGGAGGATGCAATAGGAAAGAGGAAAGCTCTTATATCTCAAGCATACCCTAGTGAAATTACCTGTTACCAAGTATAGCGCATAATCACAACATTGATTCAAGATATTAAAAGCACTGATGAATTTTTTTAAAAATTACACTATTTCCAGGTTTCATTTGTTTGTTGGTTCTTCACACACAAAAATTGATTTTCGTGTGCAATAATATTTAAAGCAGTGTGTAAAAGAAATTGTTGACTAATTTCTACACGTGAGGTTTTTTAAAAATATTTTTTAAAGTTCTCATCCTCCCTTCTAAATTGTAAATTAAACTGCTGTCCCATGTCTTAAAAAAGCAAACTTGGAGTAATTTTTTGTACACCAAAATATTTAGAAGCCAGTGTATGCTGACTCAGCAGAAGTAAATTACCTTCGTATGGAATGCAGCTATTTTGTGGAATCAGGATTAACACAACCATTATTTTACTGTGAGATCTTCTCCAATAACTAAATTTCACTGTGTTGATAAAGTGTAATGTAACTGCCACCTATGACTGTTGAGAAGCTCAAAGTCACTAGAAAGTGTTCTGGTTCAGTATTTGATAAATGTTATTAGCAGTCAGTATGTAATAACTACATTGACAACAGCAATTCAGGGAAAAGTTCTTTTTAACTTGCTTTATAGAATTAAATTTTAATAATGCTGTCGGTCTTGAGGATTAATTTATGCACAAGAAATTTGACCAAATGTGATACTTAAAGTGGTGAATATACAGTGTGATTATTACATAGAAGTATAATAATTATGTGCTGTCATGAGATAGGACTCCTTAAACTAACACTGATGTATCAGTTGGAATTTAAGTTGTTTAATCATAGACGTGCCCAGTTATATACAGCAAAATTACATATGTTGGCCATTGACCCAGTAATGCCAATTCTAGCACTCTGCATGGAATTGTTCCTTGCCTCTTTTTAGCTTCTGGTGGTGGCTTGGAATCATTTGGCTTGTACTTATGTCATTGCAATATCTGCCTCCAACTTTGCTACATCCTTTTTGTGTCTACATTGATTGTCCTCTGTGTGTGTATATCTATAAACATTTCCCCTTTTTATAGCATGCCATTTACTTGATTGAAAATGTACTAAATGACCTCATTTTAACTTTACTGCCTCTGAAAAAGGCCCTTTTTCCAAATAATGTCACTTTTTGACTTACTACGGATTAATTAGGATTTCTACCGATCATTTTGGTAGGATACAATTCAACCCACTAATCCACCAATGTGTCGTAAGAGGGGAAGTGTGAAGGGCAGACAGTAAGAAAAAAGAAAGAATGATCTATAGTGAAGGATAATGGTGCTTTGGAAGAGGGCATGGTATGATAACACATCTGTTGAGGTATGATTCTGTACCTCTATATTATATAAAATGTTGTAAACCAATGTTACTGCAACAAAAATGTTACAAAAAAATACTAAGTTGGTAGTATTCTTAAGAAGTAATGTTATAATGTTATAAGTTTAATATGAGACACTTTTGGGCCCTCCCTGGTGGTGCAACAGGTTAAAGCACAGCATTATGATGCTATCTGCAGCATAAGTTCGGTCCTCAGCCAGGGAGGTGACCCACAATGCACAGCAGACCTCTCCTGTCTCACCCACTACTCCCTTCAGTAGTGTATTTCAGTCAATCGGCCTGTTCTGCTCCCCACTCTGTCTCTGGTGAATCCTCTCACCTTCCACACCTCTAGCCTGTACCACAGCTCTTGTATGCATAAATAAATCTTTTTTTAAAATAAACAATTACATGTGTTTCCTCCTCTAATTCTTACATCTCAACTAAAGATGCATTATATTGAATTACAAGTGGAACAGCTATAATTTGGCGTACACAAAAATGGTGCAAGTGAAGGTGCTAGTTCAATGTTTTTATAAAAAATATAATGACCAGATATTATTTGATTTATCTCTCGGCTTTATCTTCTCACTCATATGCCATCAACTTGATAGACTTCTGATATAACAGAGAATTCCACATAAACAGCTTTCTAATAAAATACATGATTAGTTAAATCTAATCTGTTAGTGAATCTACAAATTACACCTTTGAGAATTACTATTGAATCTAGACTAAATGGGCCAATTTCATTTTCCAGAATAGCAGGATTTGGGAGGAAGACAGACAGGAAGTTGCCTAAATCTTCAAAGAATGAGTAGAGACTTGGTGGTCATTAGTATAGCAACATTTTGGGTTGTCGTGTCTGATAGCATGATCTTCAAAGGATCTAAATTTTGAAGAGGAAGGAGACAGATTTATGAAAATGCATTGAAAACAAGGAAGATACTGTATCTTATAAGTCATCTTCAAGCCCAGGGTTACAAAGTATAATAGAAAACAGGTATCCTTTTGAGAGGACTGCAGAGAAGTAGAAGCAGAGTAGTAGGGGGATTAACAGGTTTCAGTCAGGGAGCCTAGGGTTGCACATTTCCAGAAGTGAAGGCAATATTTAAAGGGGTATCAGATAAAGACTGATGGCAGGTAATGAGTTTCAGAGAGCAAGGGAAGGCTTCAGGGAGTTGAGAAGAGGTGAGTGAATTGTGGTGGAAGGGTAAAAAGGCATGTTGAGATTGCGATCCTGAGGGTGAATTAAAAGGTCAGGAAGTGGTTTAAGAAAAGAAAACTCGGCCCTCCCTGGTGGCACAGCAGGTTGCTTTAGCACAGCACTAAGAAGCAAAGCCACTTCAGCATGAGTTTGATTCCCGGCCAGGGAGGTGGCCCACATGGTGTGGCAGACCTCTCTTGACCTTCCTGCTGTACCCCTCAGCAATGTACTTCATCAGTTAGCCTGTCCTGCTCCCCACTCTGTCTCTGGTGAATCCTCTCATTACCCCTGTACCTCTGCCCTGTACCCCAGTTCTGTATGTAAATAAATCTTTTAAAACAGAAAGAAAGAACGAGTGGGGGCTTCCCTGGTGGCACAAGGGCTAAGTCTTAGCACTATCATGCTGTGACTGCTGTAGCCTGAGTTCCATCCTCAGCTGGGAGTGGCCCACATATGGCACAGTAGATCTCTCCTGTCTCACCCACTGCTCCCCTCAGCAGTGTATTTCAGTAGAACTTCCTGCTGTACTACCTCCTCTGTCTCTGGTGAATCCTCGCAACTCACCCCTCCCCACA